TCCTTTCAAGCTTAAGTTGTTGTTTAGCGGTCCAGCTTACATACTCGTACATTTCATGTACTGATGCCAGTTGGCCTGCATCTTATTTATGATGCAGACGCAGGTACCCAGGATCAGCATCCAGCACGCCGTTGATCCAGCTGAGCACTCCAGAGTCAGTGGTCAGCCTCCTTGCTTCCGGAGGACCCTGTTATTTTGTGTTCCTAGTTTTGTTTTATTAGGATGTTGCAGGGTTTGTCCCAACATCCATCTCAGTATTATAGAGGCTTTATAGACAGTCAGTCAGTTAGTATTGAGTCTCTCATCTATGTATATATGTAAATATTCTATTTTGAGACTCGAGTTACCTTTTTGGCCAGATTTTATCAGTTGAGTTGTTTTATGACCTTTCTTTGTATTGAGTTGTTCTGTTGAGTTAGGTTTCCGCTTAGTTAACAAAGCCAGGCCAAGGGTTCGCTTGGGGCCAACAATGGTCTTCGAGTGCCGGTCCCGACCAGGGTGTAGGCTCGGGGCGTGACAGTGTTGACCCGAGAAAAAGAGATCTGGATTAACCTTCCAAAAAGCATAATAGAAGTTAACCACAAGTCCATGATATCATCTTTGTGGAATACTATTCTACCCATAAGACCATCTACTAGTGCTTTCGTTACAGATCAATTGACTTAGGAACTGATCTGAATCGCTATTGATATACGAGAGAAAGATAATTTTATTCATGTACAACCTTCTTTTTAAATAAAGCCAATACAAAACTGATAAAGTACAATATTAACAGAAACCTAGTTTACAGGAAACTATTAAAGTCCTAAATAGTAAAGATGACTAACTACGTATATCATCATATGGCTTAAATACAAGAAACTAATAACAGACTCCTAAACAAAAGGGTAACATCTATTATCTCTTAATACGCCCTCGCAGGTTGGGGGTGACTGGAACAAGACCAACTTGTGAAAATGGCGCTGAAAAGCTATGCGGGGAAGAGGTTTGGTGAGGACATCAACGACTTGATCAGCAGAGTGAAGGTGACGAACCTCAAGTGCCTTATGTTGAACTTGCTCACGAACAAAATGAAAGTCAATGGCTACATGCTTCATCCTATTGTGAAAAACAGGATTAGCACAACTATAGGTGGTGCTAACGTTGTCACAGAAAATAGTTGGTGAAGCAAACATTGATTTGTGAAGCTCTCGGAGCAAATTCGTTAGCCAATTGACTTCAGAAACAACAGTAGCAACAACTCGGTACTCGGCTTCTGTAGATGAGCGGGAGACAGACTTTTGCTTTTTAGAAGACCAAAAGACTGGTGAGTTCCCAAGGTAGACAACATAACCTGTTGTTGATGTTCTATCTTGTGGATTTCCAGCCCAATCAGAGTCAGCATAAGCAGGTAAACGGTCTGTTGGTTCGCGACTGAGCTGAACTCCCAATGTGATTGTGTGTTTCAAGTAGCGCAACAAACATTTGATAGCTTTCCAGTGAGACACTTTGGGATTATGTATAAACTGAGATAACTTGCTCACAGCAAACCCGATGTCAGGCCTAGTGAAGGATAGGTAGTGAAGCTTACCAATGACTCTTCTCTAAAGGGAAATGTCAACTACAGAATCAGCGAAGGTGCAAGGTGATGTCATTGGTGTTGGAACGCCCTTGCAATCAGTCATATTCAATTCATCTAGAAGATCCATGACATATTTTTGTTGAGACAAAATGATTGCAGTTGGTGTGGATATCACTTCAATACCCAAGAAATAATGCAAGAGGCCAAGATCTTTGAGAGAGAATCGTAAGGAAAGTGATGTAATTATTGACCTGACACTTCCTTGAATACTGCCCGTAATAATTATGTCATAAACATATATGAGAATGTATACAGTAGCACCACAATTATGAAATATAAACAAAGACGAGTTAGATTTTGATTTAACAAACCCAATACTTGTCAAGTAACTGGTGAGCTCGGTGTACTAGGCCCTAGGAGCCTGCTTAAGTCCATCTATGGCCTTTTTGAGCTTGCAAATGTATGTTGAATGTTGAGAGGACTCAAAAACAGGAGGTTGCCGCACGTACACGTCTTCTTCAAGACTTCCTTGCAAAAAGGCATTATTGACATCTAACTGATGAATAGGCCAGGAGCATTGAGCAGCAATTGCAAGGACTAAGCGAACTGTTGTAGGCTTGACAATAGGGTTGAATGTGGAATGATAATCTAACCCAGGTCTTTGTGTGAAGCCTTTGGCTACTAGGCGAGCTTTATACCTATCAATGCTTCCATCAGGCTTATGCTTAATTCTAAATAACCATTTACAATCCACAACATTCTGAGAGGGATCACTAGGGACCAAATCCCATGTCTGGTTTCTGATTAGAGCATCATATTCCGCTTTCATTGCTTCTTGTCATTGGGGATAGAGTTGTGCTTAACAAAAGGAGCGGGGAATTGGTGGAGAGGGATTGGTTTTAACAAGAAAACTCTTGGGTTTAAGGCTATTTGTTTGAGAGAGGGTAACCATTTGGTGAGAATGGGTGTCTGATTGCGGTAGTGGTGGGAGTTGAGGGGCTTAGACAGATGTGGTAACTGTAGAAGTCCGACGTCGATAGGTTTGGGTAATGGGTGGCTTACTGGTTGTTACCGGAGATAGAGGAATATGAGTGGATTGAATGGGGCAGGGAGAAGCAGAGGTGCTTGCTGGATTGTTCAGAGAAAGTAGAGGTGTACCTGATATTAGTGGCGTCGCTGAGGAAGAAACAGAGAGATACCTTTGAGCACCCGTAGACAATGGCTGAGGCAGTTCAAGATAATGTGGCGCTGTTGGGATATCATTGTGCATCTCTATTGAATGAGATAAGTTATCCCAAGAAATTTTCAAATGCTGATTTTTATATTTAGAAAAAATATTGGTAAAAGGGTAACTAGTTTCAAAAAATACTACATCTCTAGAAAGATAAACTTTGGAGGTGGTTGGGTCAGAGCATTGATGACAATAATATTTATTTGAAAATCCCAAATAGACATAGGCCTTTGATTTCGAATCAAGCTTATGCTGTGCAAATGGTTTTAACCATGGATAACATAAACAACCAAAAAATTTGGCGTTGTCATAATTTGGTGATTCTTGAAATAAAAGCTCGTATGGACACTTGTCTTTTAAATTTGGGGTTGTCATTCTGTTAATGAGAAAAACAGCTTGATGACATGCAATACTCCAAAAGGTGGATGGTAAAGAGGCTTGATGCATTAGAGTTTTTGCAGTCTCGACAACATGGCGATGTCGTCTTTTAACTACAACAACTCTTTGTGGCGTATAAGGTGGGGAAATTAAGTGTTCAATGCCCTGAGATTTCAAATAAGAAGTTAAACTCTGAAATTCACCTCCTCCATCAGTATAAAAAGATAATATTTTTGTTTGAAACCGACGTTCAAGCAATGGATGTAGTGTTTGAAAACATCTAAAACCTTGTGTTTGGACTGAATCGTGTGGAGCCACATGTATTTTGAAAACTAATCCACAAACAAAACATAATATCTTTTCGTAGCGACGGATAAAATTGGTGACGGGCCCCACAAATCACTGTGAATAATTTGGAGAGGCATGTGACTCTATAAAGAATTTGTAGAAAAAGATTGCCTGTGGCTTTTATTGATTGACATGAATTACAAATGGAAAGAGACTCTTACTTAACAAGAATGGAAAATTTATTTAAAAACAAATCTAAAGTACGACGTGTTGGATGCCCCAAACGCCGATGCCACAGATCTAAAGATGCAGCCATATTGCATTGAGGTTGAGAAGAAGAAGAAGGATTGTCTAGCGGCCACTCATAGAGGCGGGCCCCCCGTACTCTGCCCTTGAACTAACGGCGCCCCCGTACTCAGATCCTTCACAAGATAAGAGAATGGAAAGAATTCAATAGATGTATTATTGTCACGACAAAATTGAGAAACTGAAATCAAGTTACTGGAAATGGAAGGGGAGCGAAGTGTATTGGATAAGTGAAAGCTAGAATCAGATGCAGATAAATCAATGTTACCAGTGTGAGAAATTGGTATGGTGTTACCATTTCCCATAGCGATTTCCTCCGGACCATTGTAGTTAGCAACGTTGTTGAGACCGTGGGCATCCGATGCAACATGATGTGATGTGCCTGAATCGACTATACATGGGGCAAATTGCTGCATTTATTGTCTAGCAAAGTTGGCCTGTGCCTGAAAATGATTATGAGACTAAGAGCGACAAACACGCGCAGAGTGTCCAGGTCGGTCACATAACTGACACACTAAAGAGACTTCTTGTGAATTAGTGCGACGATTGCACCCTGACTGAGAACGTTGCTGGTAGTTGTTTGAATGCCTATTATTGTTAATGACGTTGGTCCGCGTTTGAAAGCTGGACTTTTGAGCAACAACAACAGTAATTGGAGTGGATTGAGGCGAAGCATTGTGTTTGAGGAAAAGCTCGTGATCGCTAAGCTTTTCAAACAGTTCAGCATATGAAATTAGGGTGTCACGTGCTCTAATTGCTGCAGAGATTTCGCGGTATTCTAGTCCAAGACCAATGAGAGTCTTGACAATGAGTTTGGCATTGGTGACAGGAGCTCCAGCAGTCACAAGCTCATCACAGAGAGATCGAACTTGAGTGAGATAGTTTGTTACAGGTTGACTCTCTTTTGTGAGACAAACGAGGCGATCTCGCAAGCTGAATATGCGAGTTTGTGACTTATTGGCATAAGCTGTATGGAGGGAATCCCAAACTGCTTTGGCTGTGGTTGCAGCGGCTACAATTGCAGCAAGAGTGGGATCTACTGATGCTAAAATTGCGTTTTGGATTAACAGGTCCTGACGAAACCAATTTACATATTCAAGGTTGGAAATTGTCAGGTTGTTGGTGGTGGTGGTCTCGGTAGGAGCAGGGATAGTACCATCGAGATGACCATAAAGATTGTGTCCTCTCATGAGCATGGACACTTGGGCCTTCCACAGGGAGAAGTTATGGCTGCCAGCAAGTTTAATCGGAAGCTGGGTAACCAAGTTGAATTGAACAATGGTGGTAGTGTTAGTTGCATCAAATTGGTAACTGAGGGTGCCATTGATGGTGGGTGGGTAATAAGGAACTTAGAACTCTGTGAGGAGAAGAAAAGCTCTGGATACCATATAAAGGTTTGAGATATACGAGAGAAAGATACTTTTATTCACGTACAACCTTCTCTTTAAATAGAGCCAATACAAAACTGATAAAGTACAATATTAACAGAAACCTAGTTTAGAGGAAACTATTAAAGTCCTAAATAGTAAAGATGACTAACTATGTATATCATCATATGGCTGAAATACAAGGAAACTAATAACAGACTCCTAAACAAAAGGGTAACATCTATTATCTCTTAATATCCAACCGATACATCATGTAAAGTAATGTATCCGAGAATAGTAATTTTTACAATATTTTCAAACGGTAGGAATTTTTTAGAGAATATGGTATTATAAATTGTGTATTTAGGTAATTTTTCCTTATTTTATATATTCCTTAAATACTTCAAATCAGATCATTTATTAGCCAACTCATTTGACATGTCAACAACTTTTGGCACGTCATCAAATTAGTTAATTAATGTTTATGGCAGTTTTAATTTGTTAATCAGTTAGATTAATTTCAATTGTGCTCGATATAAATAGTCCTTCCCGCTCAACTTTTCCAGTTCCAAATTCAATTTTCAACTCAGCTTCTTAATTTCATTCAAGCCCGCATTTCTCTTTGCTTTCTCGGAATATGAATCTTCCCATTCCAGGTTCGTCGTCTTCATCTTCGTCTTCGTCTTCTTGTTTGTTTTTCTTCTGAAGCTCTTGATTTTCTGGTGTGAGATTGGGTGATTTTGAAATGCCCCAAAATGAAAAAATAACGAATGATGTGTAAAGTGGAATACCCTAATGGTGACTGTTATCTTTGATTTTCTCCTATTGCTGTCAAATTCCTTATGCCCCCATATTGAAATGTTAAATGCTATGAATAGTTCGTGTAATTTTCTAATTAAATTGATAATTGTTCGTGTTTTACTGAATACGGAAGGGATGAAGATACAGATTCAGATTGTAGATACCGAGGAATGTTGAGAAAGATAGATATAGGCAAAATAGTCTGATGAAGCCTTGTACTTGTATGAGTTTGTATTTTGAACCCTTTTACTTGACCATTTATCAACTGAACGCTTAAACTCAATGAAACTCAGCATTTTAAACCCCTTTGACATTGTGTGAACTTCAAACGCCAATAAAAATTACATGTCATCACCCATATCAGATTTTATATGACACGTCACTTATTATTTAATTTTTTAAAATAAATTATTAGTTTTCTTCTTTTTCACTCCATCTTCATCTCCATATCACTTGACCAACACATGTAAATCCATTTTCTCCATGGATGCCAATGATTCACCATTTTAATTGTGGTTGAATAGTCAACATTCTCTCAACATACTTGTGCTTTCTCACACATTACATTGAAGATGTTGATTGTATAACTACAACTCTTTCTCATATATCATTTATCTCCACGCCCAATGTATGTGGACCCTTAAATGACTTGTTTAAACTTATTTAATTGAATAAATTTGAATAATATAGTTTATTATTAGTTAATCATTCTCCCTTTTAAATTATACTAGCTACGGTCTATATTTAAGTGTCATACTCTAGTAGGTGCAATATAGATCATTTTTGGATCATGATATCAACCTGTATATACCTTATTACTGTTGAAGTGTAGATATTGTTGTTACAATATAAACCAAGCACATGAACAAGTATCGACGGTCTTAATTATCTATATATTTTGACCAACAGTGACAATACTCAATTATTCAAATTTTACAACGGTAACAAAGTACAAATTGCTACTTTTTCAACGGTAACATTTGCTTTTTTAGTGTATAAAAAGAAGGATTCATGAACTCCTCCATCTTATTCTATTTTAAAATACTTAAACATCTCTTTTAATTATGTCTCAAGCATCTCAAACATCCAATGCAAAATAGTCTTACGTTTGTCGTTGTGGTAATTCAACCATGTTGAGGACTTCACGCACCGATACGAACCCAGGTCAATAATTCTTTAACTGTGCAATTGGTGCATGCTCTTTTTTTAAGTGGCTTGAAAATGATTCATCAACAAGCAACCCATCAAAATTGAGTCCAGGACTCGAGACATCAAATTTTCAAGGCGTTACCAAATTTCAAATATTAGAAAGGCTTCGAAACTCTGAAGAAAATAGGGATTTGCTATTGAGTTTATTCAAAGAAGCCGAAGAGCAGAGGGATCACTTTAAAGGATTGCTAAAAGACACTGAAATAGATAGGGATCAACTAAAACAAAGGTTGATAATGGTTGAAGAAAAAGAGAAAGGCCTAAAAATAATATTGTATGATCTGTTGTTAGTGATTGCTCTTTGGAAATGTGTAACAGGGATGCAATAGTACAATCTTATATCTTTTACTCATGTAGTATTACAGTCTATTAATAAAATGAAGTCTTTCTTGTATGGTAAGACAATGCATTATATATACAATTTAAAGTCGATAACTGGCAACAATATCTATCAAAACAAAAATAACATTTACATAATCCAACTGTCTTAAAAGGCACTTCAAAAACCAACTACGTCAACAACCAATTGTCTTAATATTCAACCACCAAAAAGTAATTATCTAAAAGACCAATTGTCTTAATAGTCGACCACCAAAAACCAACCATTTAAAAAACCAATTGTCTTAATCATCAACCACCAAAAACCAACCATTTCAAAACCAATATCTTAAAACCCACTTCAAAAACAAATTGTCTTAAAAAATCAGTATCTTACTCATCACCATTGAGCTCACCATTGAGATCCATAACAATATCCATCACGTCCACTGAAATTTGTTCTTCTACCTTCTTCTCCTCTTCTTTTTCTTGATTTTCTTCCTGCTTCTCCTCTTCTTTTTCTTGATCTTCTTCTTGCTTCTCCTCCTCTTTGTCTTCCTCTTTCTTCTCTTTGATATCCTCTTCTTTGTTTTCTTCTTATTTCTTCTCTTTTTCTTCCATCTTCTCCTCCCCTTGTTTCTTCTCTTCCATCTTCTCTTCTTCTTTTTCTTCCATCTTCTCCTCCTCTTGTCCTTTCTCTCCTTCCTTCATCTCTTCTACAACTTCATTAACTTCTTCTGTAAAGTACTCATCAACTGCAACAAGATATTCACCGACTATTGCTAATGGAAGGATTTCATCAACATCAATTGTAGCACTATCTTTATCAACTGTTGGTGCTGTATAGTCTTCATTAACTGCTGCAAGATCAGTGACTTAGCATTCTTACAAATAAATTATTTTACACAAATAGTATATAAATTAGTCTACCTTCATTTTTCTTGTTCTTTTGAGCTCTCCTCAATTTCTCATCTCATATAAAAGCAACAACTTCCATCATTGATAGTTCAAAGGATGCAATATGCTCACACAAATTACCATCTTTATTTTTCTGTCCACTCGAAACCGAATTCTCACAAGGTTGGTTGGAATTGTTCTCTCCCAATATTTCATCCTCCTCGTTCTCTACTGCAGAAGTCAGAACAGTGACACCTTTCAAATTGGCCTTTAAGGCATCAATAATTGTGTCCTTCACTTCGTCTGTATATAGCTTTAATGTTGCCATATAATTTTGTTTTGTCTCATGTACAATAGGTATGAGGTATGGATGCACAATCTACAAAAAAAAATATATAAATAGTACAAGGCCTTCACTAATTTACAAATATTGCTAGCTAATAATAAATAAATTTATACCTTTGTACTTCTCCCTTTGTACTTAAATTGATCACCTTCGACAATATTATTGTTTTTTGTCGTGTGCCATCTAAGTAAACGGAGAATGGGTAGAGGAGAATCCAAGGACTTCTTTGCATACTTACCAAGATGAGGAAAAGCTTCATATATCCAAACCTAAAGTTAATAAAATAACAAATAAATAAACATAGACTATGAAATACTATATAAATATATAAGAGTTTATTATAAATCAAGGGGAAAATGCATAAGTACCCCCCCCCCCCAACCTATGCCCAAAATTACAGAGACACACTTATACTATACTAAGGTCCTATTACCCCCCGAACTTATTTTATAAATAATTTTCTACCCCTTTTAGGTCTACGTGGCACTATCAACCAAATAGTTTGAAAAAATTATCAACACGCGCTGGGCCCACAAAATAGTGCCACGTTGGCCAAAAAGGGGTAGAAAATTCTTTATAAAATAAGTTTCGGGGGGAGGGGGTGGGGTAAGTAGGACCTTAGTATAGTATAAGTGTGTCTCTGAGATTTCGATTATAGGTTGGGGGGGTACTTATGCATTTTCCCTAAATCAAGTACATAATTGATAATAAGTATTAGAAATGCCCAGGGGAAGCCATAAAGAGCATACGATGCATTCCCTCTTTCATTGTACACTTCACTCCGCTTCTTCAAATTAATTTTGTTCTTCAAATACTTCACTATTAAATCAAAACACTCTTTCCCCCACGGATAACTCTTGAAAAAATCTAAATCATCGACCATCTTAATGTGGTTTGAATCCACAATCTTAGATCGATCGTGGGCAAGCAACATCGAGTGGACGAACCAAACTAAAGAGCACTTCAACTTCTGCTCCTTATTCAATCTGGTACCCTTAATCAAACTCATCAACTTTGTAGCAGTGATATTCTTATTCTTGGTCACTTTATAATAAAATTTCTCACCTTTCTGAAGTACTTTTGTCATTTTTGAATCACGGGGGTATGCTGAGCAATTCAGCCCCGTAATCAATGCAAACTCTTTTAAGCCAAAAAAGCATGCTTATCATTCACACAAAACCACATCTCATGCAATTTTTTAAATAATTTTTTACACGTCGCAACAACATATAATGGACCATCTGTCCATTGAACTTGTAATATGTCTTAAATGTCCAAAAAAAGTACCTTTAAAGTCATTATAAATTTTTTCTTGAACTAAAACATTTCTAAAATCACGATAAAGAGTCATTCTTGCTCTCACATAAGTTTTCGCTGGAAAAGATCCTAACTCATCCATCCATGTAGTTAGATTATAGGACTTACCAGAGATTTCTCTTGCACAAATTGGCAAGGATTGGATCATCATCCTCATCTCCAGTATCTCGGCTATCTCTACTACTCTCCTCATCTCCACTGTCAGTTTTTTCTTTGCTAGATTCAACATCATCAATAGTCTGGGCACTACTGTCCTCATAGTTGTCGATCTCAGCCATTGTATCATAATCCGAGTTAGACTTAGGTTCTTCAACTACAATTTTTTTTCTTTTTTAAAGATCTTGAAACTTCTTTAGCCTTTCTTTTCTTGTTTTTAGAAGGCTTAGTGTCACGCCCCAAGCCTACACCCTAGGTGGGACCGACACTGGAAGACCATTGCTGGCCCCAAGCGAACCCTTGGCCTAGCTTACTTAACTCAGCGGAAGACAATGTTCATATCTATAATGATCAATGAACTTAACTGAACTGAAAAATAAAATAACTGAGAATGTTTTAAAGATTAAACATCTAACTTGACCAAAAGTGGCAACCCAAGTCTTTAACATAAAAATGATAATGCAAAGACTACTGAACTACTAACTGTCTATGAAGCCTCTAAAACCAAGAGGGATGTCAGGACAGGACCCTCGATCATCCTAACATCTGAAAGACTAGAAAGCAAATAAAGGAATCCTCCAGAATGTAAGGAGGCTCACCAACAGACTCTGAATGCTCAAGCTGGATCAATGAGGCGCTGGATGCTGACACTGGTTACCTGCGTCTGCATCATAATAAGATGCAGCCCAACTGGCATTAGTACATTCAATGTACGAGTATGCGAGTTGGAATGCTAATAAACATAGGCTCGAAAAAGATTATGAAAGAAACACCTACCTGGCTCTTCTCAACTCATGGATACTCAACTTAATATAAAGCAATAAAATATATATATATATAAAGCTTATAAAACAACTGAAAACAATCTTAGTTCGTTACAGATAAAGCAATAACAAACTTAACTTTACTCATTTAGAAAGTAATATAACTTTTGTGGGAGATTTTCTAACCGACAACTATCACTATGAGCCTAAGTGATGGTACAACATTTTACCTCACGTTGCCAAGGACTGTCCTATACCTTGCCATCGGTATAGAACTTGAACTACTAAGTGGATCCACTAGTCTATGCTAAAAAGCACTAGGGAATCATCTAAAAAGTATGATCCTTTTTCTGCCTATGATGGCTACATGGTTTGTGGGGGCTTGAGTTAATATGAACTCGCGTCCCCATATCAGTGCTAAATACTACTCCCAAAATATACTTAGCTCATATGTTTTTTTTAAAAAAACTTCTTCTCTGGTTTGAGATAATTTCTCAAACTTAGCTTAAAAAGCTCTCTTGGAATCAATGTTCCCTTTTCTTGCTTAAATGTGAAAAACATTTATAAACTCTTTGGGAATACTTAGTTCCCATATACTTTTGAAGAAATGAACTTCAATCTTTACTCTTTACTATTTACTCTTTATTCAACTTGAACTTTAAGTCTTAAAATAAAGTTAAAAGCATTTGCAAAAGACTTCTTGAAAAGACTCTAAGAACTTCCTAGACTTGGCTCTTGACTTTCCTTGAATTTGAATTTATGGATTCAAGCTTATGATTCATGTTTCTAGATGATTCCTAGATGTTTAGAATCCATTTAGAGTAGTTAGAATCAATGGAAAGTGTTAGGACACTTTAGAATAACTTAAGTAGGCTAAATGATGAAAAACTGGTGAAAAATGCCGATTCGGGCACGTCCCTGGCGTGCCGCGCTAGGCCCCAACTTATTGGGGCTTGTTTTGGGCGCACTGCAAGTGCGCCACCCCTACCTCCTGGTGCTATGGGGGCGCGACACACTTGGCCCTCCCCAGGTGCTTCTGACGAGTTTTTCAACTCGTTTTCTGATTCTAAATCATTTCAATCTGATTCTTTTTCCCAAATTCACCTTAGATTCATGTACCCAAGTCATATACACAAAATCTTACCCAAACGACTCAAGGAAACAATACTTTAACATCAAGAAACTCCTTAATCCCAACTCATATTCAAGAACGCAATCAATTCAAGAACAACTATCAAGAGAATCAAATTCTCAATCTTTTTAAGATGAAAATACGTTGAATTAAGCATGCTTGGCGCGTGGGTGAATTAACCCAATTCTATGTGATCTCACATACCTTGTGGGGTCAATTCCTTGGCGAATCCGCAACCAAAATTGATCGTTCTTGGCGAATCTTGCTTTTCCTCTTCTCCTTTCTCTTGTGTTCTTTCTCCAAAAGCCCTAGCTCTATTTCTCAAAAGTGAAAACCGAACTAACTCAGTTTTGACCCCAACTATTTTATTAAAAACGGAATTAAATAATTGGGTAAGGAAAAGACCAAACTACCCTTCAAAACTCCGGATTGGGCATTTCCTTATTCGAACAACCCAACTTCCAAAGGACATAACTCACTCATACAAACTCGGAATTGCGCAAACTTAGCGGTGTTGGAAAGATCATTCCAAGAGATTTCCAGCCATATCTGGAACTATACCTAACTCATCCTGAGCTAGGAGTTATGATCGTTTAAATTTGACCAAAAACTCACTTTAACTTACTTAAAATTTTCCAAATTTCCTTGTACTTTCCAAAAGGGAAAATGCATAAGTACCCCCCCAGCCTATGCCCAAAATCCCTGAGACACACCTAACCTTTACTAAGGTCCTATTATCCACCACCACCCCCCCCACCCCGAAGTTATTTTTTAGGTGTGTCTCAGGGATTTTGGACATAGGCTGGGGGTTACTTATGCATTTTTCCCTTTCCAAAAATAACTATTTCCAGATTTTAAACTTCCTTCTAGTTCTTTCTAGTTGCGAGATGTTACACTTAGGAACATATCATTTAACAATACCGCCTCTAGTTTTAGCCATACTGTATTATATATAAAAACATAATTTTCATATCAAAATATTGACCACTAGTCTATTAATACAAACAGAGTAATGCTAAAAAAATTATGAAAAAAAGTACCAGTTCCAACAAAACTCGACAATGCCATTGACATAAACACCATTAAAGTCGACCAAAATATAGTAAAAACTTTCAAATCGATAGGCCAAATAAACATAAAAAATCAAAAATTTCTATGCATTATCCAAAGCAAAACCTCAGTAATGATTCCAAATAAAAAGCATTAACTAAAACGGGTGAGATTTTCAGAACTTTAAGCAAACATCTAATCTTCGCTACACTATCATAACAAAAAAATCAAATAGGCTAAAAGTTATTGAAAACATGATTAAACTTACATCAGACGAAGAAGATTGAAAAAGATCCAACTGAACTTGGGAAGAAGATTGAAAAATATTCAAATGAACTTGAGAAGAAGATTGATGAAAAATAGACAAACTCCACTTCGTTTTTCAGGAACGATAATAGGATCTCCTTTTTCTTTATGTTTTCAATAAATGGAAGATGGAAGACTTGTGTTGGAGAATGATCAGTTTTATGAAGGTTGATGATTTCGGTAAAGAAGGTTTATGGAAGACAAAGAGTTCTTTGATAACGTGTTCTGAGGTTTCCTCGGAAAACGTTAACCCATTTTATTAAATAATTTTTATATTCCTTGGGATTGTAATATAATTTTTTGGAGGGATGAATTTATTTAATGTTGAAGTGTTGGGATGAAAATGATATTTTATATACTTGTTTTTTTATCCCCAAGTTCTTAAAGTGATGAAAAAGCCCATGACCTCACAACCCAACCCCACTTTTTCACCTTTTCTAACCCTAACCTAAAAATTAAATCAAAAAGAAATTAAGTGGCTATTGTGCAAATTAAGTTTTGGGGTGTCTCCCATGCCAATTAATCTCATCTCTCTTCTTACAAAAACCCTGAGGTTTGTGTTTTCTCAGTTGAAGAATTCTATGTATATTTGTTTATCTGAATATCTGACAAATAGTTGATTTTTTTTGTCATTTGGGTTTTTTATTTATTTTTTATTTGTTTTGGCAGGAACAAATGTTTTTGATTGGTGAGATTTTGATGGTGCCTTGTTATGCAGTTGAATCAGTAAGTTCGTTTGGAATTTTTTTTTCCGTTTAATTGTAATGGTTTGAATCAATGTGGGAGTAGCATATAGGCTATATCTTTCTATTAGGACAAGAAAAGTATGTTTTTTGGGCATAATTTTGAGATGATCACTAATAAAAAGTGATCTCATTAGCAGAGTAGGAGGGTTTTTTTATCCTTCCCTTTTGTGGTGAAGGTTTTGTGAGTTCTTTAGCTTCTCCACATTTTGATTTAATTAGTTTTGTAAAGCCCATGGCGAGTAAGCATCTTGATATCTGATTGGGAAAAAAAGAAGGAAAAAATGCTAAAAGGCAGGTCTGCTTTTGCTAGCTATTGAAGTGCAGAAACACAGTGACAAGCACACGTCTGGTTAGCACAAAACAAGTTGTGCTATCCCATGTTCCTTACTAGTGTGATGTACCTTTTATTATAGCTGCTAAGTGTAGTCTTTTTTGTTGTTCATTGAAGGGAAGAAGGCTTCATCTTTCAATCTACTGGTTTTGTGGTGTTTTTGGTTAAGTTTTAACTTTGATTTATGAAGAATTTCTAAGCGTGTTTTTTCTTTTTATGTACATTCTATATGTTCTATTGTGCCCTTCTAGTTCTCTTACACATTCAATAACACTTATATTTCTGAAGCTTATAAGAGAAGGATATATCTTATATTTTAACCCGTTCAACTGAGTAAGCACATTAAGGGTCTGTTTGGAAAGCCACCTGGTAATTGGAATTGGTGTAATTACTAGGGTAGTAATTACTAGCCTAGTAATTACACGAGTCTAGTAATTACATTGACCTGTTTGGTTGTCACAGTGTAATTACAGTGTAATTCCCTTTGTCCTGTTTGGTTGGACGAATGTAATTACACAGTTAAATTTTAAAATAGATCAGATTTTGAATAAATAATATTACTATGTATAACTGATTGTTAGAATCGAATTTTATAATTCTCATATTTATTTTAATCTCAAAACTAACAGGAGAAAATACAAAAATAAAATTCATACATAATCTACCTAGACATCAAAATATGAAAGTAAAATGAATCAAGAAATAAATCTTACTTGAAAGAAGAAGTACATGGCTTGTTGCTGTGCTGCCGTTCTTAGAAATGGAAATGTGCAGACAAAAAAGGAAGAAGTGTCTTTTCCAAACAAAAATATATTAAAAAAATATAATATTAAAAAATTCATGTAATTACATGGTGTAATTACACTCAATTCCTTACTCTCCCTTGGGAATTGAGGAGTGTAATTACTCCCCTTCAATTACACCCAATTCCCCTCTTACCAAGTAATTACTTGGTCTACCAAACAGGACAAAGAGAGTAATTACACCAATTACACTAATTCCCAATTCCATTGTGGCCTTTCAAACAGGCCCTAAAGCACCAACATAGAAAAGAAAGTAAGGGAAAAGGAGGAACAACCTTACTTCTCAAGATTATTGTTTCCTAAGTATCGGAAGAGTCAAAATTTTACTAGGGATAGCGGAGAAAAGGAATACATATGGTGTAAAGATATCCATATTTATTGGTCATAAATAAAAGTCGATAACCTATAGACTGCCAAGAACTTATAAGTTGATCTAAAACGAGTTGTTTGGAGAACTGCTCGAGTTTTAGTAAAAGCGGCTATGTGGGGTCATATTGATTGGTTGAAGGACCTAAAAGAGAACGTAGTTTGGGGTGGGGTTATAACTGTTTGTGCCAGAGTCAAGAGATTAGTGCACCCTCAACATTGAAAACATTTGTTTGGAAAAACAAAAGAACATATTTGAGAATGCTAGTAGAAAGGAGAAAAGGACAACATTCTCGATTATATAAGTAGCTATGAGTTCTTTTACCTGTTCATCTCTTTATACATAAGATAACAACATTCATTAGCAAAGATGTTTTGATTTGGACTCTATCTGGTTAAATTTAATAAATGAGACATATATTTAATGTTAGAATGGGAATAAGATTTATAATGTAGTGTCTATAAATAGAGCTCGTTGTAACAATGGTATACTAGAAAAAGAAGACTTGTCAACTTTATTATGTCAGCAATCAGATGAAGCCTCAAAAATATGTATATTATTAATTATTTACTTACTTTCCTCCACCAGAGGAAGTGGTGTGCATGTTGGTCAGGGCAATGTGGGCACGCATCAGAAAAGCTGTAGAATTTATCAAAAGACGGTCCTCATAAGATATTTCAGAAATAACAATATAAAGCAAAATAATTTTGAACCGTTGCTTATTTCACCCTTAGGGGTAGCCGACTAGCCGGGTAGGACCAAGGATTTAAAAAGGAACCTTTGTGTCTACCTAAAATCAAGTCCTCTCCACTCACATTTTTTGCAAAAGTAATAAGCATAAGGGATAACTCGTAAGAAACGGACCTGTATAAAAGTAAATAATTTAATTTGGCTCAAAACAATACGAAGCAAACAAAATGTAGTTAAAGTAGCAAAAGTTAACTTACAAATGAGTACAATTCTCCAATATGGTTTTGCAGGGGTGTGCCAGTTAAGGCCCACTTATAAGAAGATTTTAAAGCAAGAACCGCCTTTGTGGGTTTGTTGTCTACAGTTTTGATATAATGAGCCTATTTATGCCATAAAAGTTCAATCAGTTAAGAACATTTCAGATAAAAAATCTTATATCACATGAAATTTAGGAGTTCTATTCTCAGACTACAAAACACATGCAGGATTGTTCCAAGGCAACAAAGAGAACATAATGTCCATGTCCACCATGTAAAATATAAAAGGGTGTTCAAACTAGAATTGAAGATGAAATTCCATGTTCTTACATTATGTTGTGCCTTAATAGCTGAAACATTATGAAGATTATTCAGCAGTTAACCTATAGGTTTCTTCCTAACCACTATAAGATTCTTCACATTCTAATGACCAGCATAGCTATTAGCACATTATTCAGCAGTTAACATGATCGACTTGAAAAAATTTGCATAAACAGTAAATGATCACCATGTATCTGGAAATGCCAAGTTAAGAAAACAAAAACTTAATGCATGAATCTATAAATGTATGACTTGCTTTATCCAAAATGATGCGCTCCCACTTCAATGAATGCAGAACTGACTTCCTTGGGGAAACATCTTCACCAACCCAGGCTGAATTTTCAATAGAACCATCGTCACTCCATTTTGAGTTCTTGTTGTTCTGTTTTGACTTCTTTGGCCAATAGTAAGCCTGGATAGCGGAGTACGTAGTAAAGACAAAATCATATTCCTCTAGTTTGTACATACATTTCTCCCTGTTGGTGCCATGATACACAAGAGTTTTGTTGCTTCCTTTAGTGGTGCAACGTTCAATCTTGCGAAACCATCGCGTTTCTCCAATCACATGATATACAACAAGAGATCCTTTTATTGTTGGGAGTTCCTGGGAAGTACTGGGTGAAGACGGCAATATACTGGAACCACTAGTTGCTTTCTTTAATTCGCGTTGAGCAAGCACAAGTGCTATGGCTTCAACCGTCTTCCCCATTCCCATTTCATAAGCAAGAATACCTCTTTTGAATATAGTTTCTTGCTTTAATGACCAAGCCAACCACTCCTTTTGGTACCTCAATAATGGCAAGATCAAATCTGATGGTGCCTCGGCAGTTTCAGCAAACGAGACGTTCTGAATATCCAAGTCTAAATCATTTGAATAATTCTCCAGAAAGAATTCATCCATTTCTTGTTCCAGTATCTTCCATGTCAAAATTGATGTTATTATCTTTTGCATCCTCTCATGCTCATATTTCCTCATTTTTATCCTTCTAACCATGCCATAGAATCTATGATATGCATTTGTATCTTTATCCATTTGATCTTTAGTAACACGAACAACTATCAATTTAGTTAGAAAATTACGCAAACTATTCAAAGCATTTATATGTGTTAGTATTTCAAGATGGATCTCCCCTATGGAATTTGACATCAATAAATTAAAAATAGGAGAAAATTAAAGATAACAGCTCATCGCTAGGGCTCAAAATTTGCATGGTATTTTAATTTACATGTCATTCATTATTTTCTATTTTTGGGTCATTTCAAAATCATTCAATTTCAACCAAGCTTTCAAGATTCAAGAGCTTCAGAAGAAAAACAAACAAGAAGACAAAGAAGAAGAACCTGGAATTGGCGGATTCATATTCCCGAAAAGCAGAGAGAAATTAGGGCTAGTTGTTTTTTTATGCTTAGAAACTGATATCCATCAATGGACTGGTGGTCTTCTTATATAGACTTGGTTTTTCCTCTCCTCATAAGCAAGATTTTGGGTTGAGTTAGGCCTAGGTATCATAGCTTTACATGGTATCAAAGCAAGGTCCATCCTCATTTGGGCACCCGATCCACATGGACCAGACTTTGATACCATGTAAAGATATGACACCTAGGCCTAACTCAACCCTAAAAGCTAGCTCATGAGGAGAGGAGAGGAAAGCCCAAGTCTTTATAAGAAGACCACCAGTCCATTGATCGATATCAGTTTCTAAGCATCAGAAAAACAACAAGCCCTAATTTCTCTCTACTTTTTGGGAAAATGAATACGCCATTTCCAGGTTCTTCTTCTTTGTCTTCCTGTTTGTTTTTCTTCTGAAGCTCTTGAATCTTGAAAGCTTGGTTGAAATTGAATGATTTTGAAATGACCCAAAATAGAAAATAATGAATGACATGTAAATTAAAATGCCATGCGAATCTTGTGCCCTAGCGATGAGCCGTTATCTTTAATTTTCTCCTATTTTTAATTTATTGATGTCAAATTCCATAGGGGAGATCCATCTTGAAATGCTAACACATATAAATGCTTTGAATAGTTCGCATAATTTTCTAACTAAATTGATAGTTGTTCGTGTTACTGAAGATCAAATGGATGAAGATACGGATGCATATCATAGATTCTATGGCATGGTGAGAAAGATAAAAATGAGGAAATATGAACGTGAGAGGATGCAAAAGATAAGAAGATCAGTTTTGACATGGGAGATACTGGAACAAGAAATGGATGAATTCCTTCTGGAGAATTATTCAAGATGATTTAGACTTGAATATTCATAACGTCTCGTTTGCTGAAACTGCCGAGGCACCATCAGATTTGATCTTTCCACTATTGAGGTACCGAAAGGAGTGGTTAGCTTGGTCATTAAAGCAAGAAACTATATTCAAAGGGGGTATTCTTGCTGATGAAATGGGAATGGGGAAGACGGCTGAAGCCATAGCACTTGTGCTTGCTCAACGCAAATTAAAGAAAGCAACTAGTGGTTCCAATATATTGCCGTCTTCACCCGGTACTTCCTAGGAACTCCCAACAGTAAAAGGAACTCTTGTTGTATGTCCTGTAATTGGAGCAACGCAATGGTTTCACGGGATTGAACGTTGCACCACTAAAGGAAGCAACAAAACTTTTGTGTATCATGGCACCAACAGGGAGAAATGTATGTATAAACTGGAGGAATATGATTTTGTCATTACTACGTACTCCACTATCGAGGCTGACTATTGGCCAAAGAAGTCATAACAGAACAGCAAGAACTCAAAATGGAGTGATGATGGTTCTATTGAAAATTCAGCCTGGGTTGGTGAAGATGTTTCCACAAGGAAGTCAGTTCTGCATTAAGTGAAGTGGGAGCACATCATTTTGGACGAGGCAAGTCATAGATTCATGCATTAAGTTTTTGTTTTCTTAACTTGGCATTTCCAGATACATGGTGATCATTTACTGTTTATGCAATTTTTTTCAAGTCGATCATGTTAGCTACTGAAAAATATGCTAACAGCTATGCTGGTCATTAGTTTGTGAAGAATCTTATGGTGGTTAGGAAGAAACCTATAAGTTAATTGCTGAATAATCTTAATAAAATTTTAGCTATTAAGACACAACATAATGTAAGAACATGGAATTTCATCTTCAATTCTAGTTTGAACACCCTTTTATATTTTACATGGACATTTTGTTCTCTTTGTTGCCCTGAAACAATTCTGCATGCGTTTTGTAGTCTAAGAGTAGAACTCCTAAATTTCATGTGACACAAGATCTTTTATCTGAAATGTTCTTAACTGATTGAAGTTTTGTGGCATATATAGGCTCGTTATATCAAAACTGTAGACATCAAACCACAAAGGCGGTTCTTGCTTTAGAATCTTCTTATAAGTGGGCCTTAACTGGTACACCCCTGCAAAACCGTATTGGAGAATTGTACTCATTTGTAGGTTAACTTCTGCTACTTTAACTACATTTTCCTTACTTTGAATTGGTTTGAGCTTAATTAAATTATTTACTTCTATACAGGTCCGTTTCTTACAAGTTATCCCTTATGCTTATTACTTTTGCAAAAATTGTGAGTGCAGGGGACTTGATTTTAGGTAGACACAAAGGTTCCTTTTTAAATCCTTGGTCCTACCCGGCTAGTCAGCTACCCTGAGGGTGAAATAAGCAACGACTCAAAATTATTTTGCTTTATATTGTTATTTCTGAAATATCTTGTGAGGACCGTCCTTTGATAAATTCGACAGCTTTTCTGATGTGTGCCCACATTGCCCTGACCAACGTGCACTCCACTTCCTCTGGTGGAGGAAAGTAAGTTAATAACATACATACTTTTGAGGCTTCATCTGATTGCTGACATAATAAAGTTGACACGTCTTCTTTTTCTAGTATATTACAAAACCTTTAGTGACTATGGGACACGAGAATGACGGTGGAGATGCTATGGTTTTGTTGAAGCACAAAATTCTAAAAAGCCTATTGTTAAGACGTACCAAAAAGGAAAGAGTTGTTGATCTTTCACTTCCCACAAAGACTGTAAGTTCTGTCTTGCAGTGGTGTCATGTGCTTCAATTTTGATAAGAATCTTGTATTATTGGTTACTATTTTTGGGTTCAGGTTATTATGAGAAAAGATTCTTTGGATGTGAGTGAATTTAACTACTACAAGTCATTGCACAATAGAAGTCGGGAACAGTTCGATAGGTATTTTTCAAACTCGAGCTCTTCTTCCTTGCAAGTCCAATTTCTTGGCTTCGTCTGCACCAATTTGCTGGCTCATTGTTTTTCTTTTTTTTAGCTGCATATCCTGTTTCTTGTTTATGCATGGATTACTTTCATTAAATTTGTTTCCTATAATTGCTTGTCCTTGAGTAGTTATTAAACATATTGGGTTAGTATCTTGGTTTTTAACTTAAGATCTTATACATCTTTTTCTTCCCATAAAATTCTTAATCATTTGAGTCATTGCCTGCCAAAAAGTAAGGGAGCAAAAATATTTTTATTTCTAACTATGTCTGCATTTTGTATTTTGGTGCAGACTAGTCCAGGCTGGAACTCTGATGAATAACTATGGTCACATTTTTGCTATGATCACACGCCTACGGCAGGTACCAACATTCCTACTCCTCATTCTTTTTCTTACAACATTCCTACTCATGACCCTCATGATTTGGTCACATAATCTCTATCCAATTTTCTTTTCTTGCAAAAATTCATTTTCTGCTCTTTCCCATAGTCCTTTTTAATTGACAATGCATTTCTTATGTGTGCATAGATAAGAATATTGTGGAACTTCTTTTTGTATCTTCTGTTTCATGTCGCTTTTCTGCTGTAATTTTTGAATAAACATTTCTCGGTATAAGCTTATCACTATGATATTACATTGTTTTTCCCACTGGGGGGTTAGATGTGTAGTTGGAAGATAATAATGGATAGTTAATTAAATTTGTCAAGGGGTTTATCAAAAAAAGTTGTTTGTCAAAAATTTGGTCAAGGAAATTATGGGACCAACAACAACAACAACAACAACATACCCAGTGAAATCCCACTAGGTGGGGTCTGGGGAGGGTAAAGTGTACGCAGACCTTACCACTACCTCGTGGAGGTAGAGAGGCTGTTTCCGGAAGACCCTCAGCTCAAGTGTAACAAAGCCAAGTAAAGGAAGAGAATTATATAAAGCATAACATCCAATAAGAAAAATAGTGCATAATCAACAAAGGGGGCAATACATCAAGAAAATAATGCGAGAAGTGAAACGCAGTAAACAACATAAGGCAAAAGGGATCACATACAAGAACTACAAGTGTACGGCTAAGACTCCTACAAACGCTAACAACCCATACCCTCGCCAGGAAAGACAGCACGCTAACCCTACTAGCCTTCAACCTTAATACGTGACCTCCACTCCTTCCTATCTAGAGTCATGTCCTCGGTAATGTGTAGCTGGGCCAAGTCCTGTCTAATCACCTCTCCCCAATACTTCTTGGGCCTACCTCTACCCCTCCGCGTACCCTCTACTACCAGCCCCTCGCACCTCCTCACTGGGGCGTCCGCGCCCCGTCTCTTCACATGTCCAAACCATCTCAGTCTCGCTTCCCTCAGCTTGTCCACCACAGAGGCCACTCCCACCTTCTCCCGGATAACCTCATTCCTAATCTTATCGCTCCTAGTGTGCCCACACATCCATCTCAACATCCTCATCTCCGCAACATGCATTTTCTGAACATGTGAGTTCTTGACTGGCCAACACTCCGCTCCATACAACAAGGACGGTCTAACTACCACTCTGTAGAACTTACCTTTAAGTTTAGGCGGGATTTTCTTATCACACAAGACTCCAGAGGCAAGCCTCCATTTCATCCAAGCAGCCCCAATGCGATGTGTGACATCATCGTCGATGTCACCACTTTCTTGGATTACAGACCCAAGATACTTAAAACTTTCAGGGAGTGAAACGCAGTAAACAGCAAAAGGCTAGGACTGCTCCAAACGCTAACAACCCAAACCCTCGCAAGGGAAGACAACCCGCTAACCCTACTAACCTTCAACCTTAATACGCGACCTCCACTCCTTCCTATCTAGAGTCATGTCCTCGGTAATGTGTAGCTGGGCCAAGTCCTGTCTAATCACCTCTCCCCAATACTTCTTGGGCCTACCTCTACCCCTCCGCGTACCCTCTACTACCAGCCCCTCGCACCTCCTCACTGGGGCGTCTGCGCCCTGTCTCTTCACATGTCTAAACCATCTCAGTCTCGCTTCCCTCAGCTTGTCCACCACCGAGGCCACTCCCACCTTCTCCCGGATAACCTCATTCCTAATCTTATCGCTCCTAGTGTGCCCACACATCCATCTCAACATCCTCATCTCCGCAACATGCATTTTCTGAACATGTGAGTTCTTGACTGGCCAACACTCCGCTCCATACAACAAGGACGGTCTAACTACCACTCTGTAGAACTTACCTTTAAGTTTAGGCGGGATTTTCTTATCACACAAGACTCCAGAGGCAAGCCTCCATTTCATCCAAGCAGCCCCAATGCGATGTGTGACATCATCGTCGATGTCACCACTTTCTTGGATTACAGACCCAAGATACTTAAAACTTTCTTTCTTAGGAATGATCTGTGTGGCAAGTCTCACATCCACATCTGCCTCATCCAATGCATCACTGAATTTGCACCCCAAATATTCTGTTTTGGTCCTACTCAACCTGAACCCTTTGGACTCCAGCGTTTGTCTCCACACCTCCAACCTCGCATTAACTCTGTCCCGCGTCTCATCAATCAGTACTATGTCATCCGCAAATAACATACACCATGGGACATTCTCCTGAATGGACCGCGTCAACTCATCCATCACCAAAGCAAATAGAAAAGGGCTAAGGACTGATCCCTGGTGCAACCCCATCTCAACTGGGAAATGTTCCGAGTCTCCTCCAACCGTTCTAACCCGAGTCTTGGCTCCACCGTACATGTCCTTTATCGCCCTAATATAAATCATCGGGACACCTTTAGCCTCCAAGCACCTCCAGAGGACATTCCTTGGCACCTTGTCATATGCCTTTTCAAGGTCAATAAACACCATATGAAGGTCTCTCTTCCTTTCTCTATATTTTTCTACCAGTCTTCGCATCAGATGGATGGCTTCGGTAGTCGATCGTCCCGGCATGAATCCAAACTGATTCTCAGAGTCATTTTTTTAACTGCTCAAATATGTAAAATTGGTGTAAAGATTAGACTATGGAAGACTTATTTGATGTGCATTCAAGATTACCAGATGACTGCTAAAGGTTATTAAACATAGTTGCTTGCTTAAACTATTTTCTCATGTCAAAGCTAATGTTTTGTACTAACCTTTTCTCTGTGAACTTAATTTTGAAGTGTCTGCTTCTAGTTTTCTTGTCCTTCTATTATATGAACGCAAATACAAGCACAGGCCTTTCTTTTGCTTCGTCTGAACTTGCTTCTCATAAATATATTTGTCTTACTATGGGTCATCAGCCAAATTTGATTGCAGAAAATGTCTGACCAATATAATGTCTTTCTTTAATCGGCAGGCAACTGATCATCATAACCTTGTGATCTACTCTAGAAAAGAATTGGCTAGTGGCAATAAAGAGGCTGGAGATGTTGAAAAATTATGTGACTTATGTCATGATGCAGTGGAAGATCCAGTAGTGAGTTTGCGCACCTCTACCCACTCCCTCCTCCCAAACCAAGAAATACGAAAAGAGAAGAAAAGGAAAGAAACAAATCCAGAAACTTCAAGCACCTTTCAATTGCTCATTGTCAATTTGATAGCTCTCTCCTTTTTGCATTTATTAAATTATTTTTCTGTTAGCCATTCAAGGTCCAAGAATTTCAAGCACCTTCAAGTCCTTCTAAATTAGACAGAGTCTTCTTTGAACTGTGCATCTCTTTTTGATTGTTGCAGGTTACTTCTTGCAGGCACGTGTTTTGCAAGGCATGTTTGATAGGCTTAGCTGAAAGTGTGGAGAAAATGCCATGCCCTTCATGTACCAAACTCCTCACATTTGACTTCACTGCAAATAATGATAAGGGAGATTCTAATTCTAAACCTACTGTCAAAGGGTTTAGGTCCTCAAGTATTTTGAACGAAATTCAGCTTGATAAATTCCAAACGAGCACTAAAATAGATGCTTTGGTATGCAATTGCATTCTACACTCTCATCATATTCTCCTCGGTTTGCTTTTCTTCTTTGCCTTATGGATTTCTTTCCTTTTTACAAAGAGAGCAAGAGATGTCATGTCACATCATCATATGCAGGCGCTAAACCATTATTTATTGTGATTCTCAGGCTTATTCCATTAATAGATTCAGAACTAAGAAAATGTTCTAACCCAAGGGGTGTGAGCTCGTGATCTTGTAGCTTCATCATGTCCTATTGCATTGAAGAAAATCAAACTGCTTTGAAACCCACTCAGTGGAACAAGTATTGAAGAATCTCAGTCTTGTTAATTTGATTGATGTTCCCCTTAACTCTTTGATTCTTCTACTTGTGAATAATATTGCTAAATACATTCTTGATGCTCACTTTTAATTTTATTGAATGTATGGGGAAGAAATTAGGTTCATGGTTGAAAGGGATGGTTCTGCAAAAGGAATAGTTTTTTGCCAGTTCACATCATTTTTGGATCTGATACAGTATTCTCTTAATGTAAGATATAATAGTACTTTCTCCTTCCTACTTTCCATTCCTCTTTTCAGACTAATAAAAAAGATGCTCGTATTGTGTGTATTCAGCTGTCGGGCATCAATTGTGTTCAATTAGTTTGATCCATGTCTATTGCCGCAAGAGATGCTGCAGTTAACAAATTCACTAAGGATTCAGATTGCAGGATATTACTTATGAGTTTAAAAGCTGGAGCTGTTGCTCTCAATCTTACAGTTGCATCAAATGTAAGGATCTATTTTCTTTCTCTGGGTACTGCCCTAAATTCTTAAAGCTTGTGCGTATCTAGTGTTGCATTCCTATTATATTTCCTGTTATTTGGTTTGTTTGATATACCTAACTTCACTTCTCTGCACACTCAAAGAACCAGCTCAAGATACTATTGTGACTCGTATTTATCTGTTGAATAAGCACATGACACATTTCATGTTAGGTGGCTCATCTCTTGATCCTTTCTAGGTTTTCTTAATGGATCCTTGGTGGAATCCTGCGGTGGAGCAGCAAGCCCAAGATAGAATCCATCGAACAGGGCAATATAAACCTGTCTGGTGTGTTTTGCCTTTCTTGTACTTTCGAGGCCATTGAATGGAGCTTATTATTTTCTTCTAATTTGTAGGATTGTGAGATTTGTGATAGAGAATACGATTGAAGAGAACATCATAGAGTTGCAAGAGAAGAAGAAATTACTTTTTGAAGGGCAAGTGTCCTTTCCTTACAGTCGTCACATAGTTGCATGTGTTGTGACAAAAATAAAGCATTTTGATGATTTTCCTTGCAAATTGTTATTATCAATCTTTTTATTAGATTACTTCTTTGCTCCCACCTTCCCGTCCTCCGCTCTTTCTCTTCCTAAGGTTCTTCAGAGGCCTTCACAGTTCTGAATTCAGCTGCTTTAGTAAAGAATATTAAGAAAAAGGTTCCTTACTATAAAAAGGAACTAATTTTAGTACCTTTACTATAGCACCACACTTTAAACTTTTGTTTTTTGTTCGCATCAACCACACTTTCAAACTAATACCAGAGAGAGTTGTTTGGAAGGTAAACACTCCTAAGGTTATGAGTTCGAGAAAAGGCCATTTCAAGAAATCTATCAACAAAAATATAAGAAGGAACTGAAAGTATTACAATTCAAAGTCTAACATGTCTCGAATATTGAGTGGGTTAACCTGAGAAAGAGATCCGGACAAACCTTCCAAAAAGCATAGTAGAAATTAACCACAATGTCATCTTTATGGATGACTGCTCTACCCATAAGACCATCTACAAGTGCTTTCATTATGAATCAATTGATCACATATAATTAGACTAGGCAAACTTAGGAAGTGATCTGAATCGCTATCGTATCATTGATATGATACAGACTTATTTGTGGAATACGTGAAGTATTTAGCCAAAACCTCAATAAATTAGTTGTTAGCTTATTATCCCCAAAACACTACATGACTAACACGAAAGAGGTTCCATTTATAGAACCCCAGAAAAAATCTAGCCCTCATTACTCCAAATCACATCAACCATGGACCATTACACGTATAGAAACAAATAAAAATGACAAAGGTCAGAAACAAATAGATCTATAAGGCAGATATTTAAAATTCAAATTTGGCGTTGAACAAAAAAAAAAAAATCATGTGTGAGCCACTTTTATAACGAGGATATATCAGCTCTAAATTACAAAGTTGAGGAATACTTCATGCCTTATACCTAAATAAAAAGAGAGTACATAAGTTTTTTTTCCGTGATAGAGTACATAAGTTGAGTGAGTGCTTTCATGGTGCATTTTTCAAGCTTGTCAAGTTGGAATTAATAAATGATGAGATGTTTATATAAAATACTTCCTCTGTTCCTTTTTATGTGTCACGTTCTTAGATTTCACTTGCAATAAGAAACTAAGTTTACAATTCTACCCTTATTTAATGTTTTTTTGAAATCAACTTTTCAATAAATGATAAATAAATACATCTTTTGTTTTTTAATTTGTTTGTTAGATTTTTTTTATCAAAATCAAATTTTATAGAGTAATGAAATAGTGAGAGTAATTAATCAATGTATGAAATAATTACAATGAACATTAATTACTTATTAATTTTCCTACGTTGGTCAAATATCTATTTTCAAGACTAATTAACTATCAAGGGTATAATAGAAAAAATATTGTAATTTATACATTGATTTTATGAAATGACAAGTATTATGGAAAAACTTTTTATAGTAAGAATGACATATAAAAAATTACAATAAGAGTATAAAAATTTGGGAAAATTTTAAATTCTTAAAAGTTACCAAAAAATAGAATTAGGCCAAAAACTAGTTTTTTTTTGTAGTCCTATTCCTAAATGTGTTTGCTTCTTTTTCAAATCCTATTCCTACGCCGCCTTTTGTTTTAATTCCTATTCCTAAATGGTTTGCCTCTCCTTTTCAAATCGAATTTCTACTTCGATTCGAATTTGATTTTTCTATAAATAAATAAAATTCACAATTCACAAATCAAAACCTAGAACAGAAAATATAAAATCGGCATGGATGTAGTGAAACAGATGATAGAGGAACGGAAAAGTGTAACCCAACAGGTTGGTCGCTGGAAATTTTTCAATAAATTGGAAATGGAACAGAAACTACTACAAACACGTCGTCAAGAGGAAAAACGTGAAGCTGAAGCAAAAAACCTGCGTAAAACGCAATTACAACAGCAACAGATGAAGAATGATACATCAAAATTATTGAATTCCAAAACTGACATTCAATGCCTGATCAAACCGGAATCTTCTCCATCGGCTTTGCTTCCACAAGAAGAAGTTATTCGCCGGCTTAGGTTTCTGAAACATCCGGTGACTTTATTCGGAGAAGATGAAGATGCAAGGTTTGATAGGTTGAATGTTGTGTTGAAAGCTGGATTGTTTGAAGTTGAGGATAGTGATATGACTGAAGGGCAAACGAATGACTTTTTGAGAGATGTTTTGGAGTTGAAGAAGTCACGGATGTTGAAGCGGAAGGCGACAGATCAGGATAAAGATCGTGATGACGAAGATTTGAAGAGGATGAAAACTAATTTTGAGGATTTGTGTGATGAGGATAAGATTTTGGTGTTCTACAAAAAGTTGTTGAATGAGTGGAATCAGGAGCTGGATAAGATGAGTCCTGAGGCTAAAAATCAGAAAATGGTGGCTACTTTTATGCAGTGTGCTAGGGAGTTGAATCCGTTATTTAATTTGTGCCGGAAAAGGTTACTTAATGATGACATTAGGCAAGCACTAGTTGTGATGGTTGAATGTTGTATGAATAGAGAATATAGTGCTGCAATGGATCAATATCTTAATAAGATAGCAATTGGTAATGCACCTTGGCCTATTGGTGTTACTATGGTTGGTATTCATGAACGATCAGCGCGTGAGAAGATTCATGCAAATAGTGTTGCTCATGTCATGAATGATGAGACAACTAGGAAGCTTCTATATTCAGTTAAAAGACTGGTGACATTCCGTCAACAACGCTACCCAACAATGCCATCCAAATCTGTGGAGTTCAATAGCCTTGCAAATGGCAGTGACTTACACTCTGTGCGTGCGCAAGAATCAACTCCTCAAACCTCAGAAGAAAGGCTTCCAATAATGCCTATGCCTGCACAAGGGACGTCTATAGTTTAATTTGCTTTTGAGCTCTGTTTATTCTGTATGTTGATTTTTCACAGACTAAAGTGGTTTACTTTTTCTCCTTGAAGTTGAAACTATGCCTATTCAAAGTTCTTATATCAATGTCTTTTCTTCTTTTTTCTATTGAAATGAAATAATATAAAAAACCTGCAAAGTCAATTGGTGAAGTTAACATGAAAAAATTATGGCATAATACATATATTGGCCCTTAAACTTGGCTTCAAATTTTAACTTTGACCTCCAACTTTCATAATGCACAAATAGGCACTTTAACTATTCTACCTTTAAATAAATAAACACGCGATTTTTGGAGCCAAAAGCGTGAAATGCAAACGCTCCCACGTGTATTAGTGACCCACTCAATGGCTGCCAACTAATTCAATGTATGTGGGTCCGTTTTCCTGTCTATTTGACACCTTTTCAATTTGCCATGCATTTATTTCAATCTCTTTTAATGGATATGAACCCCACCTCACTAATTCCATTCCCTTCTCTTTATTTCTGCCTCACAACTTCTTCCTTCACTTTCATTTTGTGGTAAATTAATATTTGAAAATGTCAATTATTCAATTTATAATTTATTTGTCTTATTTTTTTTTTTTAATTTATGTGTTTTCAAAGATTACATTTAAGATACTATAAATTATTAGACTTAATATTTAAAAAAATTTATTACAAATTTGAAAATTACGTAATATACACTATTAATTACAATAATTACTAATTTAAAATATTTTTTCAATCTAATAAGAGCCTACAAACACACTATACGTTACATTTAAAAGTACAATAAATCATAATTAAAATATATATTTTTTAGAAAATTTTTTGTTGACTCTTGAAATTCTATTGGTGACACATGAATTTGAATAGATGGAACAATATATATTATTGAAAGTTAACAATACTATAAGTTATTCGAAAATGACGTTAATGATTTTTATAAATTATAACAAATTAGCAACTAAAATATTTTTGAAAAAACATACAAAAAATTAGTTGATGAATCAGCCACCACACCGTGGACATGTATGCTTTTTGTGATTAAAATTGAGTTTAAGGGTTATTTTGGTCATTTAAGGATTTTTCTTTAAACTTCAAGCTTTATTAATAGTGATGTAGTCATTTTAGAGTTAACATGAACGTTTACTACCATATAAATATATATAATTTATTCAAATTTAAAATTTAAAACTATTTATTTAACGTCAATTAAAAATTAACTTTTAAATTAATTATTAGCACGGACTCTTCATCACTAGTATATAATATAATAAGCGGGAATAGAGAGGACCTTGGGGTCGACACATGTTCCTTTTTCCTTCTGGACAAAAAAA